CTAAAAAATGGCGTCGCTCACACCACCGTGAAGGCCCAAGAGTGAGCTGGGGCCTGTGATTCCCATTCATGCTCGCATGCTCAATTACATGATACATCCCCGCATTCTTCCTCTCCTCACATCACCCACATCCTCGCATTCATCATCCTCTCCTCACAATCACACACATCCTCGCGTTTTCCCTCACATCACATTCGTAATTCATCCTCCCATTATGCTTACGTCGCATGCGAATCTCACATGTACACACTTCATATGCTCACCGCCTGCCCACCTCCCTGCTTCTCCTTTCAGCCAAAAGAAACCATTATGGCCCGAGCAACTGCAGCTGCTGGTGCCGCGTGCTGCTGCATCGGACACCTTCCTTCAGGTGGGTATGTGCTCTCTCAGGTGATTCGGTAATCCTCTGTTGGCCCCAGTTAATTTTCTCTTTTCTGAGGGATATAACGTTTAAAATACATATACATGCGATGGGAGAACTCTGCACACGATTGCTCTCCTCCTCCCCACTGGGTCAACGGTTCACCAATGGCTTGCTGGCAGGGAATATATGAAACCTCTATTGAGGCGCCGCAAAAGTCGTCTTTTGAGGCGCCGCAAAAGTCGTCTTTTGAGGTGCCGCAAAAGTCATCTGCACACGATTGCTCTCCTCCTCCTCACCACTGGGTCAACGGTTCACCAATGGCTTGCTGGCAGGGAATACCTGAAACCTCTTTTGAGGCGCCGCAAAAGTCGTCTTTTGAGGCGCCTCAAAAGTCATCTGCACACGATTTCTCTCCTCCTCACCACTACACTGGGTCAACGGTTCACCAGTGGCTTGCTGGCAGGGAATACCTGAAACCCTCTTGTCTCTCGCTCTGTGTCCTCTCCTCACCGCCCTGCCAACACAACAGATCACCTTTCACAGCAAGGATGACGATAAAGATTCCGACGAGGATGATTGTGTAGTTGGCACGGCCACCATTGCTCTCACTGACTTGATCAAAGGTGGGGGTGAGGGAGGGTGTGTTAGGAAGACTTGGGGGAGTGTTAGGGTACATTCCGGGCTCTGGTTAGACTTCTGGTCAACATTGCTTCTCAACCTGGGAATTAGCACAAATTGTGAGAAATAGTTGTGATTTAGGCCCAGAAGCACGCACGGCTGACCAGAAGTTTGCCCAGAGCCCAGAATGTACCCTTAGGCGATCCACTTGTCTCCATCCTTTGAGTACATCTTCGCTCTGAACCACTCTCCACTGTTATGCCACCGCTCGCCACCACTCTCCACCACTCTCCACCGCATTTCACCACTCTCGATCCCTCTCTGTGCACTGATTCAGACACCCGGATTCGCGATGTCGTGGCTAAGGTGACTCGGGACGGCAAGCCGACAGGAAATGTCACCATGGAGGTAGGTGTGGGGAGGGAGGTGTGTTTGGGGAGGTAGGTGTGTGTGGGGAGGGAGGTGTGTGGGGAGGTAGGTGTGTGGGTTCGAGGGGAAGTGGGTTTGGGGTAGGTGGGTTCGAGGGGAAGTGGGTTTGGGGTAGGTGGGTTCGAGGGGAAGTGGGTTTGGGGTAGGTGGGTTCGAGGGGAAGTGGGTTTGGGGTAGGTGGGTTCGAGGGGAAGTGGGTTTGGGGTAGGTGGGTTCGAGGGAAAGTGGGTTTCGGGTAGGTGGGTTTGGGGTGAGGTGGGTCTGGGGTAGGTGGGTCTGGGGTGAGGTGGGTTTGGGGTAGGTGGGATTGGAGGGGGTGGATGAGTGGTTGATAGGCTTTGAGGTGACTTGAGATTGTAGGCAGCCAGGTAGCACCTTCTTGAAGGTAGGTGTGTGTGTGGGTAGGGTAGGTGTGTGGGAGGTAGGTAGGTAGGTGTGTCTCAGGTGGGTGGGTTTGGGGGTAGGAAGGTTTGGAAAAAGCGATTCGCAAACGCAATTCCAATCTTGAGTGATCTCATCATCTCATTACGCACTGTGCATCGTGGTCGGTTTGCTTGCCCTTGCGCCTGTGGCAGGTGGACTAGGCAAGCTTCTCCTGAGACGTCTCAAATCAAAAGTCGTCTTTCTTGCTTGCCTCGCACCTATGTGGCAGGTGGACTATGCGAGCTTCTCCGGGCCAAGCGACAGGTAGGGGTGAGAGAGAGAGGTGGAGGGTGGGGCTGTGAGAGAGTAGGAGAGTTGGAGAAACAGTGAGGGACTATGGCAGGGCATCTTGGTTGGTTGCTTGCGCCTGTGGCAGGTGGGCTATGCAAGCTTCTCCGGGCCAAGCGACAGGTAGGGGTGAGAGGGAGAGAGAGGTGGGAGGGTGGACTGTGGGGAGATGGAACGGGAGAGGCAGCGCCTAAGGCAAGCAGACTGTGCAAGCTTCTCCGGCGCAGGCGACGGGTCGTGGTGAGAGAGAGAGAGGAGGGGGTTGGGCTGTGAGGCAGAGAGGCAGAGAGGCAGAGAGATGTGAGTTTGTTAGTTTGTTCCGCCACACCCGTTAGGATGCTTACCTTGTGATGCCATCACATTGTCTGTCTGTACCACTGCTTTATCGATACAAATACTAGTTTTGAGGCGCCTCAAAACTACACAGTGTCTGTACCACTGCTTTATCGATACAAGGACCGCTTGAGGGGCAGGGAGAAAGAGAGGCAGAGAGGGAGAGAGGAAGAGTGGTGTGCACTCACGTGTAGCAGCACCGTTCTCTTGCTTTAATCTTGTATTCACGGCTGCACTCAGTCACGCCTTTTGAGGCGCCTCAAAAGAGGGAGAGAGGAAGAGTGGTGTGCACTCACGTGTAGCAGCACCGTTCTCTTGCTTTAATCTTGTATTCACGGCTGCACTCAGTCACGCCTTTTGAGGCGCCTCAAAAGAGGGAGAGAGGAAGAGTGGTGTGCACTCACGTGTAGCAGCACCGTTCTCTTGCTTTAATCTTGTATTCACGGCTGCACTCAGTCACGCCTTTTGAGGCGCCTCAAAAGAGGGAGAGAGGAAGAGTGGTGTGCACTCATGTGTAGCAGCACCGTTCTCTTGCTTTAATCTTGTATTCACGGCTGCACTCAGTCACGCCTTTTGAGGCGCCTCAAAAGAGGGAGAGAGGAAGAGTGGTGTGCACTCACGTGTAGCAGCACCGTTCTCTTGCTTTAATCTTGTATTCACGGCTGCACTCAGTCACGCCTTTTGAGGCGCCGCAAAAGAGGGAGAGAGGAAGAGTGGTGTGCACTCACGTGTAGCAGCACCGTTCTCTTGCTTTAATCTTGTATTCACGGCTGCACTCAGTCACGCCTTTTGAGGCGCCTCAAAAGAGGGAGAGAGGAAGAGTGGTGTGCACTCACGTGTAGCAGCACCGTTCTCTTGCTTTAATCTTGTATTCACGGCTGCACTCAGTCACGCCTTTTGAGGCGCCTCAAAAGAGGGAGAGAGGAAGAGTGGTGTGCACTCACGTGTAGCAGCACCGTTCTCTTGCTTTAATCTTGTATTCACAGCTGCACTCAGTCACGCCTTTTGAGGCGCCTCAAAAGAGGGAGAGAGGAAGAGTGGTGTGCACTCACGTGTAGCAGCACCATTCTCTTGCTTTAATCTTGTATTCACGGCTGCACTCAGTCACGCCTTTTGAGGCGCCTCAAAAGAGGGAGAGAGGAAGAGTGGTGTGCACTCACGTGTAGCAGCACCGTTCTCTTGCTTTAATCTTGTATTCACGGCTGCACTCAGTCACGCCTTTTGAGGCGCCTCAAAAGAGGGAGAGAGGAAGAGTGGTGTGCACTCACGTGTAGCAGCACCATTCTCTTCCTTTAATCTTGTATTCACGGCTGCACTCAGTCACACCAATCACCCCCAAGTCATAGCTCCTCTCACTTCGCCCCTTCCTGCCCCCCCCCCCCCCCTCCCAGCTTCGAGCCCCTTCCCATCCTCCAGAGAATTCTCAGCACGCCTCTTCCCACGTCGGCCTTCTCACCAGCTCTCACTCTCTCTCCCACTCTTGTTCACTCCCTGCCTTCCTTTCCTCTCTGCCTCCCCCTCCCAGCTTCGAGCCCCTTCCCATCCTCCAGAGAATTCTCAGCACGCCTCTTCCCACGTCGGCCTTCTCACCATCTGCCACTCTTTCTAGAGGCAGCACCATAATAAACAATGCTAATGCTGCTGCCACTGCCACCACAGCAGCAACAGCACGGGTGCCCACAGGGGACGACACGAAAGCTGAAGCCGAAGCAGCAGCATACGGGGTCTCCCTTCAAGACCAGCGGGCAGTTGAAGCTCTGTTTGCCACCGGAGCCAATAACGTGACGCTCGCCGCCTGGGAAAACCTTTCCCGGGCAGCTGCGGGCGGTCAGACGGATTTTTTCAAGTCGGCGTTTGAGTGCGTGTGTTTCCTGAGCAGTGGCGAGTCAGACACGCAGGTGGGTGGGCTTTGATTCGTCTTGTAAGGCTCGTTTTGAGTGACCGTTTGAGTCGCGTTTTGGTTCGTGTTTGAGTGCGTGTGCTTCCTGAGCAGCGGCGAGTCAGACACGCAGGTGGGTGGGCTTTCAGTCGCTTTTTGAGGCACATGTTTAGACACCTAAGGTGTTTCCTAAGCAGTAGAGCGTGGGATACGCAGGTGAGTGGGTTTTATCGCGCGTTCTGAGTCACGATTTGAGTTACGTTTTGAGTCGCGGTTTTTGTTGCCTTCTGAGTCGTATTTCGAGTCATGGCTTTAGGCATCGCTCCACAAGATCACCTGCTTGGATGCAGGACTTGTCGTTTCGTTACTGCATTTGAGATTCTCAAACTTCTCAAAAGATGTGATTTGCGGTTGTAGGCATCGCATCGCTCCACAAGACCAACTGCTTGGATGCAAAATTTCTCGGTTTGTTACTTCATCATTTGAGACGGTTCAAAAGTTTCGATCCGCAGTTTTAGGCATCGCACCACAAGACCACCTGTATGGATGGATGCGGGGTTGTCCGTTCTGTTAATTCACTGTTGGTTTGCTGTGTTTTTATTATTATTATTCTTCTTCTTCTTCTTGCGGCTGCTCCTCTGAAATCATGTGTGGCATGGCATGCAGGTGGGCGTGTGGAGGGACAAGGACCCGAGGAGGAAGAGGCTGGTGGTGTCGTTCCGAGGGACTGAGGTGGTCAATGCGGCCATGCTGAAAGACGGACAGGTGAGGACGGAGCAAGTGAGGGGATTGGGAGAGAGAGCGTGGTGGTGTCGTTCCAATGCACGGAGGTGGTCAATGCGGCCATGCTGAAAGATGGACAGGTGAGGATGAGAAGCAGATAGGATCGGGATGGGACTGGTGAGAAGCGAAAGGGTGGGCTCTGTGCTGTGGCAAGGGTTGGTGGAGGAGGAAGAGGCTGGTAGTGGCGTTCCGAGGCACGGAGGTGGTGAATGCGGCCATGCTCAAGGATGGACAGGTGAGAAGCAGACGAGCTGGGGTTTGTACCTGCTGCGTACTTCTCTCCCGTCTGCCCTTTCATGGGGATGGGTATGCGATGAGGAAGAAGCTAATTGCAGCCTTCTGAGGCACGGAGGTGGTGAATGCGGCCATGCTCAAGGATGGACAGGTGAGAAGCAGACGAGCTGGGGTTTGTACCTGCTGCGTACTTCTCTCCCGTCTGCCCTTTCATGGGGATGGGTATGCGATGAGGAAGAAGCTAATTGCAGCCTTCTGAGGCACGGAGGTGGTGAATGCGGCCATGCTCAAGGATGGACAGGTGAGAAGCAGACGAGCTGGGGTTTGTACCTGCTGCGTACTTCTCTCCCGTCTGCCCTTTCATGGGGATGGGTATGCGATGAGGAAGAAGCTAATTGCAGCCTTCTGAGGCACGGAGGTGGTGAATGCGGCCATGCTCAAGGATGGACAGGTGAGAAGCAGACGAGCTGGGGATGGGACAGGTAGGAATCTAAAATATGCAACGACGGACCTGAGGCTGCATTAAGAGAGTGAACGCCACACACGACGGACCTGAGGCTGGTCTTCTGACATAATTCTCAGCGAGCTGCTCAGGCACACCATAATTCTCTCTGAGGCTGCATTAAGAGAGTGAACGCCACACATGTGCTCATAACCATAATCCCCTATCTGCCTGCCTCTCTCACGCCACACATGTGCTCATAACCATAATCCCGCATCTGCCCCTCTCACACCCTCTCTCCTTGCTCCTTAACACCCCTCTTCCACCAACAGGCAGGGCAGAAGATCAAGGACGCTCTGACAGACCTGAGGCTGCACAAGGAGAAGTGAGTATCGCTCGAAGAGTTGCCTGTGGTGTGGACCCTTACCTCCCCCGTGTGCCCGTTCACATCTTTCAACTCATTTTACTGGTAGTTCTAATTTGAACGCCCAAATACCTTCTGATATTCCTGAATCCTACTCTCGTGATTTCCTATCTGATGGTTCAGGGTTTAACATATTTAACCTGTTTTTGAGTTTTTTTTCTATTAAGGTAGCTCAGAGACGAGTAATCAGCAGTTAACTAGAACAAAAAACATTCTTGACCCAAACAAAGAGTGTTGTGCATATATATATTTTCCCCTCCACTGTCTTTTTTAGTCGACTTAAATATTCACTATCTTTTTCCCCTCCAACCTTTCGTCCCTCTACACTTCCTGGGCTCTTCCCTTCCTTCCTTCCTTCCTGCCCCCAATAACAGCTTCGATTCTGACTTGACTGACGAGGACAACAAGATGGACATTAAGGTGATTATTTTTTAACCGAAGAGTCGACTCATGAGCTGAGTTCTGAGTCGACTGAAAAGTGAACCCCCCCTCCCCAAACCAAAAACAGTTTGATCCAGACTTGACTGAAGAGGACAACAAGATGGGCATTAAGGTGACAGAACAGATAGTAGACGCATGGGTTTTGAATGAGATGTGTGATGTGCATGTGCTAGCCCTTCCTTTGCAACGCATGCGCATCCCCCCCAGTCTCCAATCGTTTTGTGTCAGGCAAAAAAAAAAAAACTGTTTTGAGAGAATGAAATCGCTTTTGGGATATCTCAAAAGAATGATTGGAGCTCCTTGCTTCCTTTCCATCCACTCTCCCTCCAATGCTCCCCCTCTCAGGTGCATGACGGCTTTCTGGACGGCTACAAGTCCGTGAAGCCTCGCCTCATCCTGCTGTGCCTCATTTTGCTGCACCTTGATTCTCAGCAACCTCTCTTGTTGCCCCTCTGTTACCATTGCTCCCTCTCAGGTGCACGACGGCTTTTTGGACGGCTACAAGTCGGTGAAGCCGCGGCTCCTTCTGCTGCTCAAAGCTATTCTCGCATCGTCTAGCGGAAAGTGAGCCTGCTCAAAGCTATTCTCGCATCCTCTAGCGAAAAGTGAGCCTTCTCAAAGCTATTCTCGCATCGTCTAGCGGAAAGTGAGCCTGCTCAAAGCTATTCTCGCATCGTCTAGCGGAAAGTGAGCCTGCTCAAAGCTATTCTCGCATCGTCTAGCGGAAAGTGAGCCTGCTCAAAGCTATTCTCGCATCCTCTAGCGGAAAGTGAGCCTGCTCAAAGCTATTCTCGCATCGTCTAGCGGAAAGTGAGCCTTCTCAAAGCTATACTCGCATCATGTCACAGGGCACAGGCTCACAGCCTGGGGGGCGCTGTTGCAGCATTGATCCTTGTTCCCTCCCATTCAGTAACATTGATCCCACGCCATCATCCCACCATGGTGTCATGTCACCATCACCACATCATGTGCTGTGCCATGTTCCGCACCACATCATGTGCTGTGCCACGTTCCGCACTGATAGAATTGGAGCTGAACTGATTGATTGATAAGGAAGGCACTAGGCCTTAAGTACAAACAAGGTTGGGTTGAGCAAAGCTAGGGAAAGGATGGGATGGGAATCCTAGCAAATCTCCAATTGGTGAGTTGGCAGATTTGCAGGATTACGAGGGAATCCCAACCAGATAGGGTTGGGATTACAAATCTACACCCAACCCGCAAATAACCTAAATTATATAAAATAGAGTACACAAAGTGTTGACAGCCTATCTCTAACATGCACCACATCATGTGCTGTGCCATGTTCCGCACCACATCATGTGCTGTGCCATGTTCCGCATCACATCATGTGCTGTGCCATGTTCTGCACCACATCATGTGCTGTGCCACGTTCCGCACCACATCATGTGCTGTGCCACGTTCCGCACCACATCATGTGCTGTGCCATGTTCCGCACCACATCATGTGCTGTGCCATGCTCCGCACCACATCATGTGCTGTGCCATGCTCCGCACCACATCATGTGCTGTGCCATGTTCCGCACCACATCATGGTCGCGGGGCACTGCCTCGGTGGCGCTCTTGGAGCATAGGTAGCCTCTTGCAGAGTGAAAAAGGATTCGAACCGCACCGCAGCAAGCCTTCTGGTTCCTGTATCCAAACTTTCAGCTAAGTGGGTGGGTTGCTTCGTAGAACTAGGAAAAAAGGCTTGAACTAGGAGCACCACATCATGGTCGCGGGGCACTGCCTCGGTGGCGCTCTTGGAGCATGAATCCTTGTTGCCTCCCGTTCCATATGCATTGCTCCCACGCCATCATCCCATCCCATCATGTCATCGCCATGCCACCATGCCACCATCCCACCACGTATCACGTCATGGTCACGGGTCACAGCCTGGAGGGCGCTCTTGCCTTCCATCGGCATAGCCCATGTGCTTCTCCTTCCAACGATGCCACCAACCATCCATCCCACCATGCCACCATGCCACCAGGTATCACATCATGGTCACGGGGCACAGCCTGGGTGGTGCTCTCTTGCAGCAGAGGTTCTCGTTGCCCCCATTCAGTATACATTGCTCCCTCCCTCCCATCATGCTATTATCGTGCCAACACCCCACCAGGTATCACATCATGGTCACGGGGCACAGCCTGGGGGGAGCTCTCTCCACGCTCTTCACATACGACCTCGCCCAGTCTGACCTGAAGAAGTGAGTGCAATGCATGACGGTTAATATGACACGCTGGGTTACTCTCTCTCTCCACTCTCCACGCTCTTCACATACGACCTCGCCCAGTCGGACCTGAAGAAGCGAGTGTGGTGAATGTGAAAAATCGAACAGATGCTGTGTGGTGTGGTGTGGTGAACAGAGATTTCTTGAACGTCTCGGAACAAACAACTGATAGTACTGTGTCAGGGACTTTGCTGGGCCTCCCTCCTCTCTTTACTTGTTCTTCCAAGCTCTCAGGCAGCTAGAATTCACACTCTACCTTAACAACTTCAGGTAGCCTGTGAGGAGACTTAAAGCCCTCCGTCTTCTCCATTTGTCCCCCTGTTTCCAATCTCCCCTTATCACCACCACAGGCAGCACGGATTCAACCTCTCTCTCTACAACTTCGGCTCGCCCCGTGTGGGCAACCATGCCTTTGCAGCTCGCTTTAACCAGGTGTGTGCTGCTCACAGGGCGTGCACAGGGGCTCACAGGGCGTGCACATGTACATGTGTGTGTGGGAAACCAGCTCGTTTCAACCAGGTGTGTGCTGCTCACAGGGCGTGCATAGGGGCTCACAGGGCGTGCATAGGAGCTCACAGGGCGTGCACAGGGGCTCACAGGGCGTGCACAGGGGCTCACAGGGCGTGCACATGTACATGTGTGTGTGGGAAACCATCTCGTTTCAACCAGGTGTGTGCTGCTCACAGGGCGTGCATAGGGGCTCACAGGGCGTGCATAGGAGCTCACAGGGCGTGCACAGGGGCTCACAGGGCGTGCACAGGGGCTCACAGGGCGTGCACATGTACATGTGTGTGTGGGAAACCATCTCGCTTCAACCAGGTGTGTGCTGCTCACAGGGCGTGCATAGGGGCTCACAGGGCGTGCATAGGAGCTCACAGGGCGTGCACAGGGGCTCACAGGGCGTGCACAGGGGCTCACAGGGCGTGCACATGTACATGTGTGTGTGGGAAACCATCTCGTTTCAACCAGGTGTGTGCTGCTCACAGGGCGTGCATAGGGGCTCACAGGGCGTGCATAGGAGCTCACAGGGCGTGCACAGGGGCTCACAGGGCGTGCACAGGGGCTCACAGGGCGTGCACATGTACATGTGTGTGTGGGAAACCATCTCGCTTCAACCAGGTGTGTGCTGCTCACAGGGCGTGCATAGGGGCTCACAGGGCGTGCATAGGAGCTCACAGGGCGTGCACAGGGGCTCACAGGGCGTGCACAGGGGCTCACAGGGCGTGCACATGTACATGTGTGTGTGGGAAACCATCTCGTTTTAGGAGCTCACAGGGCGTGCACAGGGGCTCACAGGGCGTGCACAGGGGCTCACAGGGCGTGCACATGTACATGTGTGTGTGGGAAACCATCTCGCTTCAACCAGGTGTGTGCTGCTCACAGGGCGTGCATAGGGGCTCACAGGGCGTGCATAGGAGCTCACAGGGCGTGCACATGTACATGTGTGTGTGGGAAACCATCTCGCTTCAACCAGGCGCGCTGTGCGTAGCCATTGAGTTGCTTAGTTGTATTGTTTTGGGCGCCTCAGATGTGGTTAGATAATGTTGAACCACTTTTTCTGAGAAAGGGACCCCTCCTCAGAAAGGAAGCACTTCTGAGATGGTCTCATGAGAGACCAGCTCGAGGTGACTTTTGAGTCGACTCAAAAGTCACCTCGTTACCATGGCACACGACACATTTTGAGTCGACTCAAAAGCCACTTCTTCTGAGAAAGGGCCCCCTCCTCAGAAAGGAACCACTTCTGAGATGGTCTCGTCTCATGAGACCATGATATCCAGTTCCCTCTCCTTACCCCTTCGGGCTTCCCCCTTCAGGCTTCCCCCTTCCTCGTTTTCCCTTCCGCAAATCCCCTCCTCCCAACCCATCCCGACCCAACCCATCCCAACCCAACCACCTCGTGGGAGACAGCTGGCGCATTGCGAATGATCACAATATAGTGCCGCGTGTCCCCTACGTGTTCTACAAGCACTGTCCGCCCCGTAATATTCTACCTGTCTCTCCCCTCCCCCCCTCCTCTCTTTTATATTCCAACCCATCTCAACCCCTCCCAACCAGCTTGTGGGTGACAGCTGGCGCATCGCCAATGACCATGATATAGTGCCGCGTGTCCCCTACGTGTTCTACAAGCACGTGGCCACGGGGGTGGTGCTTCGACCCGACTCCCAGAAACTAGAAAAGGTGGGTGGGAGTGGAGTGAGCAGCACAGCTGTCAGTGCATGGGTGTGCTGGTGCCGCATGTGTCTTACGTGTTCTACAAGCACGTGGCCACGGGGGTGGTGCTTCGACCCGACTCCCAGAAACTAGAAAAGGTGGGTGGGAGTGGAGTGAGCAGCACAGCTGTCAGTGCATGGGTGTGCTGGTGCCGCATGTGTCTTACGTGTTCTACAAGCACGTGGCCACGGGGGTGGTACTTCGGCCCGACTCGCAGAAACTGGAAAAGGTGGGTGAGTGCAGTGAGTAGCATTGCCAGCATTGCCAGCGTTGCCAACGACCATGACATAGTCCCACGTGTGCCGTATGTGTTCTACAAGCACGTGGCCACGAGGGTGGTGGTCCGGCCCGACTCCCAGAAACTGGACAAGGTGGGTGAGTGCAGTGAGTAGCATTGCCAGCATTGCCAGCATTGCCAGCATTGCCAGCATTGCCAGCAGTGAGTAGCATTGCCAGCATTGCCAGCAGTGCCAATGATCATGATGACATAGTCCCACGTGTCCCGTATGTGTTCTACAAGCACGTGGCCACGGGGGTGGTGCTTCGGCCCGACTCGCAGAAACTAGACAAGGTCGGTGCATGCTGTGACCCGAGGTGACTTTTGAGTCGACTCAAAAGTCAACCTGACAAGGTCGGTGCATGCTTTGACCCGAGGTGACTTTTGAGTCGACTCAAAAGTCAACTATACAAGGTCGGTGCATGCTTTGACCCGACTCGCAACAACTTTAGTACATCACCGACTATTGAGTATTTATGTACTTAACCCGTTACATTTTCCCATCTCGGCCTTCTCCTCCCCTGGCTACTCTGCTTTGGGACGTCTCAGAACAAATTTATTATCACACGGCTACTCTGCCCATGCTGCTCCTCGTGGTTATGCTGTTCTGATTGCCTTGCAATCCACCAGCTGTGCCTTGTAATCCACCAGCTGTGCCTTGTAACTGATCTCCCAGGATGCCCTCCGGTAAAAACAGCTCGGCACCTTGATGTGTCGTCACTACGGTATTCCAGCATGCCCCCCGGCATGCCCTACACTTGCCCCGTGTGATTTTTGAGGCGCCACTATTCCAACAAAAATCACCTCAATGTGTGTCGTCACTACGGTATTCCAACATGCCCCCCGGCTTGCCCTACACTTGCCCATTGCCCCTCAGGATGCCCTCCTTAAGAAGCGACTCGATACCATCACAACAGTCAGCTTCCTGGTAACGTCTTGTATGCTTTTAAAAATCCTATCGCTAGCGAACACTATCCAATCACCCCTCACCTCGCTTCTTTCCTTCACTTCTTCTAGCTCCGCTGGTCCCTCTTTGCTATAGTGTCAACCCTCCACACCATGCTTGTGAATTTTGAGGCGCCTCAAAAGTTGTGAAATATATCCACCTCGCCTCTTTCCTTCACTTCTTCTAGCTCCGCTGGTCCCTCCTCACTGTTGCCCCAGCCCTCCACTTTTCAGCTGGTTTTTGAGAATTCTAAAAAAATCTCAAAAACCAGCTTTTTGAGAATTCTCAAAAACCATCTTCTAGCTCCGCTGGTCCCTCTTCACTGTTGCCCCAGCCCTCCTCTTTTCAGTTTGCTGAAAAGTCGTCTCAGCCCTACTCTCCATGCTCTTTGCCTATCGTACCCCATATAAACTCACTCGCTTCATCCCACAGAGCGAGCAGCCCAAGCTGTTGTTCGACGGTGCCGGCGCCAGCAAGCACTCGCAGCCGGCTTACTTCCTCTCGCTGCTCAAGGTGTGTTGGTCGAGTCTCGCTGCTCAAGGTGCGTTGGTCGAGTCTCGCTGCTCAAGGTGCGTTGGTCGAGTTGTTAGGTCACACTAAGGACCTGCATGCACTCCCACAGAGCGAGCAGCCCAAGCTGTTGTTCGACGGTGCCGGTGCCAGCAAGCACTCGCAGCCGGCTTACTTCCTCTCGCTGCTCAAGGTGAGCTGGTTGGTGGTGGTGTGCTGGGGTGAAGGTGGGTTAAAACACAGCCAGCAAGCACTCACAGCCGGCTTACTTCCTCTTGCTGCTCAAGGTGAGCTGGTTGGTGGTGGTGTGCTGGGGTGAAGGTGGGTTAAAACACAGCCAGCAAGCACTCACAGCCGGCTTACTTCCTCTCGCTGCTCAAGGTGAGCTGGTTGGTGGTGGTGTGCTGGGGTGAAGGTGGGTTAAAACACAGCCAGCAAGCACTCACAGCCGGCTTACTTCCTCTTGCTGCTCAAGGTGAGCTGGTTGGTGGTGGTGTGGTGGGGTGAAGGTGGGTTAAAACACAGCCAGCAAGCACTCGCAGCCGGCTTACTTCCTCTCGCTGCTCAAGGTGAGCTGGTTGGTGGTGGTGTGCTGGGGTGAAGGTGGGTTAAAACACAGCCAGCAAGCACTCGCAGCCGGCTTACTTCCTCTCGCTGCTCAAGGTGAGCTGGTTGGTGGTGGTGTGCTGGGGTGAAGGTGGGTTAAAACACAGCCAGCAAGCACTCACAGCCGGCTTACTTCCTCTTGCTGCTCAAGGTGAGCTGGTTGGTGGTGGTGTGCTGGGGTGAAGGTGGGTTAAAACACAGCCAGCAAGCACTCACAGCCGGCTTACTTCCTCTCGCTGCTCAAGGTGAGCTGGTTGGTGGTGGTGTGCTGGGGTGAAGGTGGGTTAAAACACAGCCAGCAAGCACTCACAGCCGGCTTACTTCCTCTTGCTGCTCAAGGTGAGCTGGTTGGTGGTGGTGTGGTGGGGTGAAGGTGGGTTAAAACACAGCCAGCAAGCACTCGCAGCCGGCTTACTTCCTCTCGCTGCTCAAGGTGAGCTGGTTGGTGGTGGTGTGCTGGGGTGAAGGTGGGTTAAAACACAGCCAGCAAGCACTCGCAGCCGGCTTACTTCCTCTCGCTGCTCAAGGTGAGCTGGTTGGTGGTGGTGTGCTGGGGTGAAGGTGGGTTAAAACACAGCCAGCAAGCACTCACAGCCGGCTTACTTCCTCTTGCTGCTCAAGGTGAGCTGGTTGGTGGTGGTGTGCTGGGGTGAAGGTGGGTTAAAACACAGCCAGCAAGCACTCACAGCCGGCTTACTTCCTCTCGCTGCTCAAGGTGAGCTGGTTGGTGGTGGTGTGCTGGGGTGAAGGTGGGTTAAAACACAGCCAGCAAGCACTCACAGCCGGCTTACTTCCTCTTGCTGCTCAAGGTGAGCTGGTTGGTGGTGGTGTGGTGGGGTGAAGGTGGGTTAAAACACAGCCAGCAAGCACTCGCAGCCGGCTTACTTCCTCTCGCTGCTCAAGGTGAGCTGGTTGGTGGTGGTGTGCTGGGGTGAAGGTGGGTTAAAACACAGCCAGCAAGCACTCGCAGCCGGCTTACTTCCTCTCGCTGCTCAAGGTGAGCTGGTTGGTGGTGGTGTGCTGGGGTGAAGGTGGGTTAAAACACAGCCAGCAAGCACTCACAGCCGGCTTACTTCCTCTTGCTGCTCAAGGTGAGCTGGTTGGTGGTGGTGTGGTGGGGTGAAGGTGGGTTAAAACACAGCCAGCAAGCACTCGCAGCCGGCTTACTTCCTCTCGCTGCTCAAGGTGAGCTGGTTGGTGGTGGTGTGCTGGGGTGAAGGTGGGTTAAAACACAGCCAGCAAGCACTCACAGCCGGCTTACTTCCTCTTGCTGCTCAAGGTGAGCTGGTTGGTGGTGGTGTGGTGGGGTGAAGGTGGGTTAAAACACAGCCAGCAAGCACTCGCAGCCGGCTTACTTCCTCTCGCTGCTCAAGGTGAGCTGGTTGGTGGTGGTGTGCTGGGGTGAAGGTGGGTTAAAACACAGCCAGCAAGCACTCGCAGCCGGCTTACTTCCTCTCGCTGCTCAAGGTGAGCTGGTTGGTGGTGGTGTGGTGGGGTGAAGGTGGGTTAAAACACAGCCAGCAAGCACTCACAGCCGGCTTACTTCCTCTTGCTGCTCAAGGTGAGCTGGTTGGTGGTGGTGTGGTGGGGTGAAGGTGGGTTAAAACACAGCCAGCAAGCACTCACAGCCGGCTTACTTCCTCTTGCTGCTCAAGGTGAGCTGGTTGGTGGTGGTGTGGTGGGGTGAAGGTGGGTTAAAACACAGCCAGCAAGCACTCGCAGCCGGCTTACTTCCTCTCGCTGCTCAAGGTGAGCTGGTTGGTGGTGGTGTGCTGGGGTGAAGGTGGGTTAAAACACAGCCAGCAAGCACTCACAGCCGGCTTACTTCCTCTTGCTGCTCAAGGTGAGCTGGTTGGTGGTGGTGTGGTGGGGTGAAGGTGGGTTAAAACACAGCCAGCAAGCACTCGCAGCCGGCTTACTTCCTCTCGCTGCTCAAGGTGAGCTGGTTGGTGGTGGTGTGCTGGGGTGAAGGTGGGTTAAAACACAGCCAGCAAGCACTCGCAGCCGGCTTACTTCCTCTCGCTGCTCAAGGTGAGCTGGTTGGTGGTGGTGTGCTGGGGTGAAGGTGGGTTAAAACACAGCCAGCAAGCACTCACAGCCGGCTTACTTCCTCTTGCTGCTCAAGGTGAGCTGGTTGGTGGTGGTGTGGTGGGGTGAAGGTGGGTTAAAACACAGCCAGCAAGCACTCACAGCCGGCTTACTTCCTCTCGCTGCTCAAGGTGAGCTGGTTGGTGGTGGTGTGGTGGGGTGAAGGTGGGTTAAAACACAGCCAGCAAGCACTCGCAGCCGGCTTACTTCCTCTTGCTGCTTGTGGTGTGCGTTGGTGGTGTGGGGCTTTGAAGGTGGTTAAAGTTGTTGAGACGACTTGAAGCCCCCGCACGTAGTCCCATTGTACCCATCCCAACGTTCCTGCTCCCGTTATCCAAATTTGTTTCCGCACGTTGTTCTCCTCATCTTATACCAATTTTTGAGTCGGCTAAAAAATCGACTTATCACGCACGTAGTGCTCCTCATCTTATACCAATTTTTGAGTCGACTCAAAAATTGACTTATCACGCACGTAGTTCGCCTCATCTTACCAAGCCAACGCACCCTCCCTCCTCCCATCCCACCATTTGTCGTGTTTCCCAGCAAGTGCGCTTCAACCGTGACATTGTCACATATGCCACCCATATGGCTTTGCACAGCAGTGTCTAAACATCCCATCCCAATCTCCCTCCTACTCCCATCCCACCAAATGTCATGTTTCGCAGCAAGTGCGCTTCAACCTGAACAAGAAATGACTGCTGCAGTGACATGACACATCCCATAGCATATCATGACAGGACGCCCTTACTAAACAATCTTAGGGTACATTCCGCTGTGGACACATGTCCCAATCGATGTGTCCCAATCGAGTGTACCGCTCCGAACCGAACTAAACCAGAGATGCGAAAATTTCGAAACTAGGGTGCAATTTGGTGTAATACGATGCAGTGCGGTAGAAACGATTGGGACACATCGATTGGGACATGTGTCCACAGCGGAATGTACCCTTATTGTCCTGATTGGTTTACCCTGTGGTTACAATAGTCTACTAGGCTTCTTTTTGGTTGTTATTTGTCTTTTCAAGAAGTCTGGTTTACCAAAACAAAAATACCATGCGGTGCTTTCCTGTTGCACTGGTAGGTGGTGCTAGTAGAACAGTGTAGCGTACCAGCAGTAAAAGCCATGTAAGTAACATTTCCCGGTATATTGTGCTCTGTTGTACCACAACAGAGCATGACAAATTACACTACCATGCAGCACATACTGAAAACAACATGCACGCACAGATACATCACCACCACCCCAAAACCAAAACAGACAATCAAACGTCACTATCTTCCTTTTGAGTTTTTCCTAGCCTAGCAACAGGGCTCTCCCCCAGTATCGGTGTCATGTACACTGCTCCTGCACCCCCTGCAAACCCTAGGAGATTCTTAATCAACGGCTCAAGATCAGCCGTCCGATCAACCACAGGGAACACCCCAAACGCCAGCAGCAGAAGCAGCCAGAGAGGCGAGAAAATTGCCACCCATTGCCAGGAAGCTTCCACTTGGCCTTGGGGCGGGAGCCGCGCAGAAAAGCCGAATACTGCACCTGCAGTTACGGAAACGCCAAGCGTGAGGAAGTAGAGGTCGTCTACCAAGCCGGGGACCTTGAGGCAGCCATTAGGTTCGGCAAGACAGGTTCGGATGGCGTCGACGGACCGAGTGAGAGCTTCGGACTCGCCCTCTTGCCGTACGAAGAACTGATTGCCGTACCTGACGTGGAGGTACGGGTTCGGGACACAAGGGTTGGACGAGTGAAAGGAGGAGAGGTTTCTAAGGAAAGCAGGTAATTAAGCAATGCAAGTGAGAAGAAGGTTGACAGGTGAACGGAAGGATGAGAGGGGGGGCAGAGGCGAGGCAGAAGGGAGATGGAAGGGAAAATGGATTGGAGGGGGAGGGAGATGGAGGGGAGGAGGCGGAGGGGGTAAGAGCATGTGGGGGTCCGGGTGAAGAACTGGCAGGGCAGCTTGGAGTGAACAGCCTTGCCAATGCACCCGGTGACTTTTGAGTCGACTCCAAAGTCACCTGAGATGGAGGGGAGGAGGCGGAGGGGGTAAGAGCATGTGGTGGTCCCAGATGGGCATGTGAAGAACTGGTAGGGCAGCTTGGATAGAACAGCCTTGCCGCTGCACCCAGATGGTAACTGCAATGAGAAGCGCCTTGTAGTGTAGTACCAGTTCGGTATGTATATGTACCAGTTTATAAAAATATGTAACATATATGCATTAACGCACCTAGACTGTAGCTCCGTGAAGAACTGGTAGGGCAGCTTGGACCGCACAGCCTCACCGATGGCGACTGAAATGTGAACCTTATACAGGAAACTGAGACACCTTAAAAGGGGAATTACCTGGATTGCAGCTCTGTGAAGAACTGGTAGGGCAGCTTGGACCGCACAGCCTCTCCAATGCTGAAGCTGAGGATGTTGGGTGATGCCACGTCAGCCACCACGATCACCGTCCGATCCGACGGCTGCAACGCGAGCGGAGAAAAATGAGAGAATTGAAGGGATTGATGAGCTAAGGAGTTCAGTTGCGAGACTTGCTAAATGAGCGACCAGAGGTGTGATGTGAGCAACAAAGGGGAGGGGCACCTCTAAGTATTATGAAAAACTCGCCATGAGTTGGAGATGTGAGCAACGAGGGGAGGGCGGCATGAGTTGGAGATTCAAAACAAAACACAGGGTTTGAGCATGGAAGATTCGCGACCTCAAATATATATATATATATATATATTTTTTTTCATTTTTTTTTTTCATAAAAGAAGCTCCCAGGACCTCAGGCTCATCCTCGTAATTACTTAAGCGCTGCTCTCTTGAAGTCACAATGTCGCACTCCTGATTTATATCCTCCAAGGTTCACAACTTTCCAGAGTTCAATGCCGACACCATTCCCAGTCACTGGTTCCTACAACCACCCATTCCCCAGCAGTCTCCCCTCACACCTCTCACTCTCACTCTCTCTTGTCCTCGTAAACTCTTATTCTCCTACCGTATTACCCCCTTACCCTCAACCATGTCTCAATCACCCAACCAAGGTCGCTACTTTTAGCTGATAGACCCACTTCCTTTCACACAATCACTCAATACCCCACAAATTCCACCCCTCCACCCCCCACCCCCCCACCCTTCCCCCCTTTTCCCCCTCTTCCAGCCTCTCACCTGCCACAAGTCGCGGATCTGTTTGCCATCTAAACCGCTCTCCACCCCGTACCGCGTCGCCACGCGGATCCGCCACCCGTCGCGCGACTCCAGATCCGACAGCTGTTGCAGCATCGCGCCGCGCTGGCTTTCCGTCAGCAGACGCGCTCCGTCCAGCACCTTGGGAGCTTCCGCCGTCTCCGCCGCCGCCGTTTCCGCCGCGTCCGTCGTTTCTAGGATGTCAGTGGATGTGACCGTTAAGAGCGGCGCGGTTCGCAGTTGAGAAGCCGCGACTCGCGCAAGAAACGGAATGCCGTTTTCCTGGCGCGACGCGTCGCTTGAGCGTCGAATCTCCTGCGGAAACGGAGCGCTTGCCACGTCAACTGTCACGTCATCAGCGGCTACCGCGGGCGAGCTGCTGACGAGGAGTGCGACGGAGGCGATTAAAGAGGCCTGGGCTGCGACAGATATCGACCGAGTCGCGAAGTTCTCGACGGCTGCGGTTAGCGCGTTGGTGCCAGCGGCACCGCCATTGACAACTTTTACTAATCTCGTAACAGCAGCAGCATCCGCGGGTTGCGCTGATACACCGGCCGTCGCGGCTGCGTGAAGGTTAAAGCAGCGGTTTAAGCGGCGATGGAAGAGGCGGAGGGGAGAAGAAGACTGGTGGGAGAGACGCAGGGTGAGGCTGGCATTACGGAGGGTGGACAGTCCTCCTTGTGAGCTGCACTGAACTGTCGCCGCCATGACACACGGCGCGGGTATCAAGCGATTCAGTTGCGAAGTTAGCGAAGACAGTATCGCCGACAAAGCCTTGTAGTACTGATCAGTACGAAAACCCGCGAAAGCTAGCCGTGTTCCCAGGGGAAGGATGTGTTTCAGCAATCGCGTATATATTCTGGAAATGGTAAGTAATATATACATAATCACGGATCGCGCATTTAGTGAGGTGGCTGAAGGAGCTGGTATCAGCTAGTCTCCACCACTCACGAGCCTGACGACGACAACCCATTTCCGCGGCTAGTTTAGTCCGCACCGACGAGCGAAGCTTCTGCAGCAGCAGCGCGTAGTATCTGCTAACGCGTCACGCGGCGGGGATAACACAAACGGAAGTGAGCAGAGAGAGAGGGAGTAAGGAGCGGAAATGACGTGGATTCGGAAGGCGCACGCGAAGTTTAGTAGTGAGCAAGTAAATAAGCGAGCACTGGCCACGGGAATCCCTGCTGAGCATGACTCAGGGCGTATTCTGATGACAGGCCGGTCAACCAAGAAGCACCACTGACCTTTCAAGCCAGACTTGAGCTGTTTGGCAAGTCAGGCTGAGAGATTTACCACTTACGTAAACTCTTAAAGGCGCTAAGCGGAAGGAGCACAAGCTCGTTTCAATCCGTTACGAACAGAATCGTGATGCGGTGTGGAGTGATGGCATCCGTCGATGAAGCTGCACGCGAAGGCTCACGGTTCATCCCACGGACGAAAACACAGCCCAGTCGCAGCGCGTGTGCCTCCACGTCATCCGTTCTGACAGCAGAGAGCACAAGACAACCCTACTCAAGAGAATACTGTACATTGCTACGGCTTCGTAACATGTCATGGCGATGTTCTGTTATAAACAAACAAGTCTAGGACGAAACAAGTCTAAAAGGGCAAGGAAGCTGCAGTTAGAGATAATATACTATTTCACACAGATAGTCTACAATGGTACTGCAATCTGAAATAATTTTGCCTGTAGAGCCAAGTTCCCCTCCACCTTACATCCCTCATTCACATGCCCATCACATACCCATCCGTGCAGAGGCAACCGGAGCAGAGGGCGAGCAGTGAGAATCATCCACCCTGTTTCTCGTATCCGACCCCCTCTGGCCTCTTGGCCTCTGCTGCCCCTGCCCCTGCCCCTGCCCCTGCCCCTGCCCCTGCCCCTGCCCCTGCCCCTGCCTCTGCTCATGTCCCCGCTCCTGTTCCTCCTCATACACCATCTCACTGAATGAGTGAGACCTCCCTCGTGCCCTTTCATTCCCTCGTTCCTGCTGCTGCCTCGACCTACCGTCTGCATACTCTTGCTGATGCTGCTCCTGCTGCTGCCTCGACCTACCCTCCACATACTGCGGCGGCTGCTGCTGCTGCTGCTGCTGTGACCGACCATCGGCATACTGCTGCTTCTGCTGTTGCGAGCTCTCTCGTTGCCGCACATAATCCACCCTTCTCCTCTCCCCCTCTTCCAAGCGACTCTCCTCCTCTCCTTCCCCTCCTGCCCTCCTGCTTCCACCACCATTCCCCGCCTCCCTTTCCCCTCTTCCACCCCCACTCCCTCCCTCCCGCTCCCCTCTACCACCACCACTCCCTGCCTCCCGCTCTCCTCTACCTTCATAACACCCTTCCCCTTCAAGACTAGGTCTCCTCAGATGAGACGGCTTCCTAGTCCTCCTCACCCCCTCCCTCATGATCTCCCTCCCACCACCTGCCGGCCAGGTATCACCCACTGGGGGCCCACTACCTCCCGCACCCACACCAATACCCCCAGAAACCGGGGGTAAATACAGCTCGTACCCGTGCCCGACGCTCCTCGACCTCCGGTACAACCCGTCTTCCGAACCTCCCCCTCCCCCGACGTCCGGCATGGCGGTGGAGGGTCGGCGCCGCGTCACCTCGGTTCGGTTGCGCCGAGCCTGCGGCCGGCTGTTGTACGGGCTACGTCCGGGAGACTCGTCGTCAGCTTCGACATCGTAATCCCCTCTACCACCACCACCACCATACCCTTGAGAACCCTGCTGCTGCTGGTATTGCTGCTGGTGCTGCTGATACTGCTGTGGCGGCTTCCCATGCTGGTGGTGTTCCTCTATTGAAGCCTGCATTAAAGCCCGGCCCACGAGCCCATGCTCATCAACAGACACTGTCCTGCGATGGGGGAATGCAGGCCTGTGATGGGAATGATGCCCAGCAAGAGGTGGGAGGATTACTGCTGTGGAGGACCGGGGAGGGCGGACACGCGAGGAGGAGGAGGAAGAGGAGGAGGAGGTGGGAAGGGTGGCGTGGGGGGAGTATGTGCGTCGTTCGGAAGAGAGAGGGCTTCCGGGGTTGGGGGAGGGGGAGGAGGGGAAGGGGGGGAGGGTGGGGGCTTCGGGGGAGTTGGTTCCATTGAGAGTGCCGATTCCACTGAAGCTACGACTCCTGGTGAGGAGTGAGGGGGATAGGAAGGGAATGGGGGATGAGAGGAGTGGGAGAGGAAGAGGTGAATGAATAGGAAAGGGGGAGGGGTGGGGGCTTTGGGGGAGCTGGTCCCATTGGGAGGGGAGTGGGAGGGGAGTGTGGAAGGCAGAGAAGTGAATAGGAAGGGAATGGGGACGGAAGGGAATAGGGGAGGAGAAGAGTGTGGGAGAAGAAGAGGTAAGTAGTTGAGGGAAGGAAGAGATGTGATTTCCGCTGAGTGAGGAAAAGAAGGACACTGGGGTTTGAAATGGGATGAAGAGGAAAAAGGGGGGGTGGTGTGCAGCAATATAGTACTCTCTCATTTTCACAGAGACTTGGAAGGGGTCTCTCTAAACAGGCAAAACGACTCTTGCGAGAATATTAGTCCAGCCAACAGCTTACTGGCTTTACGTATTTTGCATTAACTGTAGAAGCTTCTTGTAGATTTACAACCACATGAGTCATATCCATATATGCTATAATCCAGGAATTATATGGTATGTCTCCTTGGCTAATGAACGTGTTTTAATACGCATCCAAATTGCATGATATGCCTGATACATTGATGCCTGATCGAATAACCATATTGTAGGTAAGGTAACGTGTTGCATTTTTGGCATATCATGCTACCATGATAAAAAAGCTACAAATCACTGTCACTTACCTGAAGCTTTTGTTATGCCTCGACACTGGATATAACTCATGCTTGTTCATGGTCAGCATTGGGAGCACATTTATCTCGGAGAAATTTTACGGAACATTGGTGCATGCTCCTGTGATTTGAAAACTCTGTTGACAGTGTGTTAATTCCATGGAGGGTCAATGTACAGTGTACACTCACCTGAATCCTCGCCGATGCTTTGACGAAGCGTCTCTCGTGGGAGTCAACTCGCGCTCGTCCTCCTTCCCCTCGCCATAGTCACCGTCCTGCGTAATCGTCACTTCCCACGCGCGCGCGCTGCCTTCCCCCTTTGCTCCCCGCGCAATCCCGCTCCGCCGCCCGCTACCGAACTCGCCCACACCTCCAATCGGCCCCGCCTGCGCCATACTTTCGAAACTCCCCCCCTTCGCTCCTCGGCGCAAAACCTGCGCGCTTCCCTCCCCGTTTCCCCCACTTTCCCCAGGCCATCCCGCACCACCGCCAGCCCCGTTCGCGATCCCCCCGTCACCTGCGCCTCCGCCCGCGCTAAAGCCGCAACTCGAACCAACGCTCGCGCTTTTAAAGGCTTCCCTCCTCCGCCCCTGGCGGGACGCCGCCTCTTCTTCCGCGTCCAGCTGCTCCGCTTCCGCCACTGCTTCCCGGTGCCGGTCGAACGAAAAATATGCCACCTTTGGCGGCGGAGCTGGCGCTGCAGCTGCTGCGCGCGAAGGCGCGCAAATCGGGGACCTGGGTCGCGGAAATGCAGGCGATCTAGGGCGGGCGTTAATAGGAGAAGTGTTGGCGACACCCCCGCCACCGCCGCCGCCGCTGCCGCTACGGCCGGCACCACCAATGCTGTGGTGCTCCGAACCATTCCCAGCGGCGTCGCCGTCCGCTTCCCCTCTCACGCTATCCCGGTTGCTGTTCCGCGAATTTCCCGCCGAATCGTTCCGCGTCTTCCCCGCGCTGCCGCTGCGGGGATCCTGCGGGGGCGACTCCGCGCGCCCTCCGCAGGCGGAACCGGAAGCGAGACCAGACGCCGCCCATTGCTGCTGCGACAGCTGAAGCTTCTGATGCTGTTGCTGCTGATATTGCTTGCCTTGCTGCGTCAGCTCGAGCGAAGCGGCGTCGGAGGTGCATACGGTTGCGGAACGGCGGAAAAAATCGGGGAGGGATTCTTCCCCGTCGTCCGCCGACGTGGAAACGGGAATTGAGCCGCTGTTGCTTCCGCCAGCGCTGCTTCCGCCCGTACTGCTTCCGCCTCCGATGCTCGTCCTCATTGTAGCGCGCGTGAATGTCGCGGACCGCATCGGCGAAGGCGCGTCGTCTTCCGCGAAACTTCGGCGGCGCGGATTGGACCACACTCGGGCTGCTTGCCCGCCGGTTTTAATCACCTGCTCGAGAAACCTCTCCTTCTTCCCGCTTCCCCCGCTCCTGCCTTCCGCGCTCCCCGCCGTGCCGCTTCCCCCGGAGCCGGTCCCCGCGGTCCCCCCTGCCCCTCCGCCTCCGCCATCTCCCCCTTCTTCCCCTCCTTTCGCGCCGTTCCGAAACGACCAGAGGCGCTGAAACTTCCCGCCCCCGTCCTTTCCACCCCCGCCGCTGCCCCCCCCGCTCGACGAGCGGCCGCTTCCCCCGCCCGCGGACTCCGTAACCGTCTTGGTCTTAACGAAATTCGCGAAGTTTCGCAAGTCGGATTCGCTGATCTTGGACGAGGTTCCCCCCGGGCGCGCGTGCAGCGGGGACGTGCTGCTGCGCGATCGGGGGACAATTTCGTGCTGCGGGGGAACGGAGAGCGGAGTTTCGTCCGCCAGTGTCTCCCACGCCTCGTCTAATAATTGCCCCGAGTCTTTCCGGTGGTGCCCGCCGGCTGTAGCTTCGTTTCCATCGTCGTTAAAGTAGTGTCTGGATACGGGGCTGCTGAGGGGGCTGTAGCTTAGCGGGCTGTAACACTCGTCTCGAGCGGCCATGGTCAACTACACTGGGGAAACTTGGGGATGCCTTATTACACGGATGGGATAATTATAACTAGGACGCGTATGGGTATCACGCGGGAGCGCATGGATTAATGAGAATGGTGCTGACCTACTTAGACTTCTAAGTGCCTCTCACTAACTCAGACAATGGTGCCAGCCTGATTGTCCGCTTACTGCTACGTTAGCTATTTATGCGATCCATCCACGACATTGAGAAGCTACAAGCACCATGCGTGCAGTAAGCGCCAGTTTGACGCGGACGGAATTACCTCTCAATGAAGCACCATTCTGGCAGAATAACTACCATTTTATTCTCTAGGCAGCGACGGTAACATGCCATGGCGGATAAATACGCAGCTAGGGAAGGGAGGGACTGACTGACTCCGCTGTACAGCTGTACGGTAGTTGGGGCAGAGTTTAGTTTAGGGCAGCTGAACAAGGACGAAAGGAATCAGATAACGGCGAAATTCGCCAACGTACGTATCACGCCCAGGCGAAGCATTTCGCGAAAGGGTTACAGATACACATGGCGTGGTGTTCGAGTTCGCGGGCACCTGTGGTGCACAATGGACCATCCAGTAACTAATCAGATGTTGGCCAACCAGGCCAGTGGAGCAAGCCAAACCACCCTGCCCATGTTTTATTTTCCAACCGCAAAACAAACTCTCAGTGGCAGGTTTCAGGCGAGCCCGATTGGAGGTTTGCGGGTCCAAAAAACACCTCCGAGTCAACGGGAAGGGGGTTTGCGGATTTCCAAAATAGGCCTAATTACCCCTCATGTTTTGACTTGTGAAAGCTGAGCAAAAGGGTCTGTGTACAGTACTTGCAAGCGGTGCCGTCGCAGAGCTGCGAGTGATGGAATGGAAGCTGGCAAACAAGCTGGCAAGCTTTTGTCGCTCCTGCCATCCCTCCAACAGTGGTGCAGTTGATGCATACCATAAGATAATACAGATTACACTAATAAAGAGCAAAATAAAACGTGAGCACTATGCATTTGAGTGTAAAACTTAGGACGTTATACCAGTTAGCAAGTTACACTGTGAAATGCCCCAGCAGGGCTGTGACACTATTTCGCTGGTTATATAAGAAACACACATACGATTATTAAGGTAGTCATTTTGCAACAAGCATGCTCTGCTTAGGTAACGCTTATTAAGCCACGGAAAGTATCAGCAGCAGCAACACCACCACCACCACCACCACTACCACCCATCACCATCGCCATCATCATGACCATGACCAGCACCATCCACCACCACCATCGCCCCATCACCACGTACAGTCTCTATCGCCTCTCTGCAGCCTGTTGGTTTTAAGAACCCTCATACAGAAAGCAGTTGCCAGTTACCGTGCGACTAGCGGCGAGCAGGGTGAGGCTTCACAATCCCTGCTGCTGCCTCTGCAGCCAGGTACACCTGGTCCTTGTTCAGCAACTCGTCCGCTTGCTCCTGTGTGGAGGGGTTGGGGAGGCGGTTGGGAGTGAATGGGTCATCTCTCCAATCCCTGCTGCTGCCTCTGCAGCCAGGTACACCTGGTCCTTGTTCAGCAACTCGTCCGCTTGCTCCTGGAGAAGAAGGTGGAGGGAGGAGGGCAGGTGGGGGGGTTAGAGGGGAGGGCTGATAGAGGAGGGCTCAAACCCCTGCTGCCACCTCTGCAGCCAAGTAGACTTGGTCCTTGTTCAGGAGCTCGTCCGCTTGCTCCTGAGAGAGGGGGAGGGGGGAGAAGGGCAGGTAGGGGGGTTAGTGAGGAGGGTTGATGGAGAAGGATTCAAACCCCTGCAGCTGCCTCTGCAGCCAAGTACACCTGGTCCTTGTTCAGGAGCTCGTCAGCTTGCTCCTGGGGGAGAAGGGCAGTGGGGAAAGGAGAGCGGGGGTGGAATTAAAAAGCGACTCTTTCCCCCCCTGCTGCCTCTGCAGCCAAGTACACCTGGTCCTTGTTCAGAAGCTCGTCCGCTTGCTCCTGGTGGGGGAAGGAGAGGAGAGGGAAGCGGTGGGGGGAGAGTGGGGAGAGAGACGGAGGGTTTTGAGACGTCTCCATAATCCTTAATTCCTGCAGCCGCTTCTGCAGCCAAATACACTTGGTTCTTGTCCAGAAGCTCGTCTGCTTGCTCCTGGGGGAGGAAGAGGGAACAGAGATGGGGAGGGGAAGGGGAAGGGAGAGAAGTGGTAAGGGTAAAATGCAGTTGAGCTGTACGTACACCCAGTAAATCATTTGTATCCACTGCCTAGGGTAAATGACCTATGATTATTCCGAGAACAAAACACTGGTTGTGGCGAGGGTAATTTAACTGCAGCCTTTGCAATACGTACACGAGAAATAGATGAACGAAGGTATGTCATAATTGAGAGGGTAAGTCACATACATATGTGGCAAGGGTAATTTACCTGCAATCTGTGCAGTAGGTACATGAGAAATAGATGAACGAAGACCTGTAGTGGTAACGTGAGGGGGAGAGAAGGATAAGATACTTGATGAGACACTCCTCTCGTGAGGTAGTAATCTGTGCAGTAGATACATGAGACATAGATGAACGAAGACCTGTAGTGGTAATGTGAGGAGCAGAGACGAATAAGGAAATAGTGATGGTGATTGTGATGGTGACATCGATGCCAAGAGAAAAACACACAGTATGAAAGCCCTAATTTCGTTTTTTAAACAAAGCAGCGACACCCCAAAGGAGGCCATAAGATGCACCCATCCACAGGAAACTTTCTGTTCATTTAATTTCTAATTGGCGAGCAAGTACCAGGTAGCAGACAAGTCCAAGGCGGGCGAGTGGGCGGCGCCAAAGGAAGCGGCCGGCAGTCACTGTGCCGTGATCGATGAGCTTCGCTGCTTGCTGTGCCACACACAAAGGGGAGAAGAGAAGAAATGGGACACGGGGGGGAGAAGAGGACATGGGACCTGTGACGTGACGTGGGTTCAACTAGAGACGACTATGTCCTGCGACCTGCGACCTGCGACCTGCGACCTGTTTTTGAGAATTCTCAAAAGCACCCTGCAACGAGAAGAGGACATGGGACCTGTGACGTGGCGTGGGTTCAACTAGAGACATCTATGTCCTGCGACCTGCAATGCCACCCACTCATGTGCATCTCCCCCTTGCCTTTAGGAGTCACTTTCGAGCATTCTCTAAGGTGTGTGTGTGTGTGTGTGTGTGTGTGTGTGTGTGTGTGTGTGTGTGTGTGTGTGTGTGTGTGTGTGTACAAAAAACAGGTTTTATTTTTTTCCACTGCAGGGAGACGTTCTAGCCGACTCAAAGAATGCCCCCCCTGGCAGCTGGGACCCGAATTCACCAAAGAGTGACCCACCACCTATTGGGACCTAAGGCTTCACGTGTGTGCATCTCACTCACCTGAATCCTCTTGCCAATGAAGCGCCGATTCGGGAGACCCACAGACCTGTGGGAGGTGAGAAGCGGTGGGAAGAGGTGGGAAGAGGCGAGCTGAGGTGAAAAGTGGTGAGATGCAGTGAGAAGAAGTGCGATGTGGTGTTCCGCCATGAGGCGAGGTGAGAAGTGGTGAAAACATGCTGTGAGGCGAGGTGAGACATGGTGAGAAACGGTTAGAAGCGGTGAGAAGTGAGGAGGTGAGAAGAGAAAATAAAAACGTAATCAGTCATCTCAGCGAATGCATCTCACTGTCCGCCTCATCATTTGCTCCCTTGATGCCAAGGGATGAGAGCTCACCATTCCACACCCAACACCACCACACACCACCAAAGACTATCACACACCACCACACCACAGAGCACCACAAAGCACCGGACAGCACCACAGGGCACCGCACAGCACCACTCACTCCAGCGGCTGCATCTCGCTGTCCTCCTCGTCAGCTGCCATCAGTATCGACCGGCGTGCTGCTCTGTCCCTCTCTGCCTGCGCCTGAAATGGCAGGGAGGGTAGGGAAAGGAAAGGATGTGGCATAAGGTTGAGGCTACCTATCAGCATCAACCGGCGTTCCGCCCTGCCCTCACCACCGCCTGAGGTACAGAATGCCAGGAAGTGAACCGAAGTTACCTCCTCTAAAATTCTCGAAGGGTATATGCGCTTTGACGTTACTCACTCGTGATAACACATGATGTCTATTTCTAAATATTTCATTTTCTTTCGGAAAGGGCCGGGGAAGGTGGGATGGGGTGCGGTAGGGGAGTGTTTGTGTGTGCTCTTTATTTTTCCAGGAGACATTGACAGCGTGGAATGCCACTACAGAAACACATCAGCCTGCATTGAACCGAGGCGTAAAAACCAAGCGGTATACCTTGGCCAACTGCAGCTCTCTTCTCTCCTTGTCCAGTTGCAGCATCGCTACCCAGAACCATTGAGGGCGCTTGAAAAAAATGAGGGTAACTAGAAAAAGCGGTGTCTTGGCTGGTTTACCTTGGCCAACTGCAGCTCTCTTCTCTCCTTCTCCAGTTGCAGCATCGCTGCCTGCCTCTCACTCGTAAATGTTTCTAACTGATTCCGTTGAGGCACATGTAACCATTGAGGGCGCCTAGCCGAAGAGGTTTACCTTGGCCAACTGCAGCTCTCTTCTCTCCTTCTCCAGTTGCAGCATCGCTGCCTGCCTCTCACTTGTCATTGTTTCCAGTTGACTCTGCTTCAGGCACTGCCATGAGAGGGGGGAAAGGGGGGATGGGGAGGGGAGGGGAGAAGAGAGTGGCAGGTTAGATTGTATCAGCCGGAGCAGCAGCAGCATCGCCGCTTGCCTCTCACTCGTCATTGTTTCTAGTTGACTCTGCTCCAGAAAGTGCAATGCATTGTGTGTGGGGGGGAGAGTGGGGGGGAGAGTGGTGGGGAGAGAGAGGGGAGGTAAGATGACAGGCAGTAGGAGGGTAGTGGTAGTGGGTCAAAGCATAATCGCCGCCTGCCGCTCACTCGTCATTGTTTCTGACTCTGCTTCACACACTGCAATGTGGGGAGGGGAGGGGAGGGGAGGGGAGGGGAGGGGAGGGGAGGGAGAGGGGAGGGGAGGGAAGAGGCGTGGGAGGGGGCAGAGGGGGGAAGGAGGAGTGGGCGGTGGGTGGTTCATTGACAACACACACCGTTGGTCACACATCTGTGGATCAGGAATCGTGGGTGGAGAAAAACAGATTCTGCTACGATTGTGACTTGGATTGGTGGTACATCTGACTAACAACCAACTCTGTCACAATGTTACTTACCAGAGTCTGTTAACACATAAACAGACTCGATTGAATCTCTGACAGAATTGATCAACCGACCAGGCATCTTTGTCAACTCTCTATGAACTCCGTCAACTACCTAAGAGACTCTCTCGAGCTCATTAACAGCTTTGTGAACTCGTTGACTGACTCTGTCAGGTCGTTGACTGATTCTGTCAACTCACCAGCAGCTCTGTCAACTCCTTAAACCGCTTCTCCATTTCTGCATTGGCCTGTAGGAGAGGAGAGGAGAAGAGAGGAGGGACAGGAGTGGAGAGGAGAGGAGTGGAGAGGAGAGGAGAGGAGAGGAGAGGAGAGGAGAGGAGAGGAGAGGAGGGAGAGGGAAGAAGGGGAGGATGAGAAAACATGAGCAGACGTAGAGAGAATCAACAAGAGCCCCCAAATTGAGGAGGGAATATGAAGGACACAGAGGAAAACGCAGAGGACGCACAGCACACGCATGCAAACAGAAATAATATGAAGTGTTAAGGACACAGACCATGCCTAAAAAAAGGATAAATCTGAAGTGTAAAAGATACAGAGCATGCCTGTAACGAGGATGAATCTGTGTCCCTCTTGTGCGCCTCCACCTCCACCCTCAGCTTCTGCACCTCTGCCTGCTCAGGAGGGAAAGGAGGGATGCAGGGATAGGGGGATAGGGAAAGTGCTCACTACAGGGAAATACGGCAGTATCAATCCTTGTACCTCTTGTGCGCCTCCACCTCCACCCTCAGCTTCTGCACCTCTGCCTGCACGCATAAGCCAGGGGAGTAAGGATGATGGATGAAATGTAAGGTGGGCGGGGAGTGGGGGGTGAGGGTACAGGTTGCATGCATGCATCCTTGTCCCTCTTGTGCGCTTCCACCGCCACCCGCAGCTTCTGCACCTCTGCCTGCACGGGTGGGCCCGGAAGGATAGGGGGCAAGGGCAATCGGGGAATAGGCCGCCTGGGCAATCGGAGGAGTGGTAATTGGGCAACAGGGCAATACGGAAACAGGGCACGCTTGAAGAGAGGCTCCTCTCTTCTCTGCTCCCCTCCCCTCCCCTCCCCTCCCCTCCCCTCCCCTCCCCTCCCCTCCCCTCCCCTCCCCTCCCCTCCCCTCCCCTCCCCTCCCCTCCCCTCCCCTCAACTCCCCTCCCCTCCCCTCCCCTCAACTCCCCTCCCCTCCCTTCCCCTCCCCTCAACTCCCCTCCCCTCCCCTCCCCTCCCCTCCCCTCCCCTCCCCTTCCCTCCGCTCCCCTCCCCTCCCCTCTCTGCCCCTCCCCTCCCTTCCCCTCCCCTCAACTCCCCTCCCCTCCCCTCCCCTCCCCTCCCCTCCCCTCCCCTCCCCTTCCCTCCGCTCCCCTCCCCTCCCCTCTCCGCCCCTCCCCTCCGCTCCCCTCCCCTCCCCTCCCGCCTCTCCTCTCACCTCGCTGCCTGCCAGCTTCCCCTCTGCCTCTCGCAGCAGCTGCCTCGCTCGCTCCGACTCCTCCTTCCATGCCTGCACCTGGCAGCACACAACGGGTGGGGGATAGGGGTGGGGGAGAATAAGAATAAAAGGGGCCACGGAAGGTGGGAAGGATTAAGGGGAAAGAGGGAAGGAGGGGGGGGGGTTTACACGCCTAGAACAAAGCAGCTGCCTCGCTCGCTCCGACTCCTCCTTCCATGCCTGCACCTGCCACCATGCAAGGGTTAGAATAGGAGGAAGCGGTGGGAGATAGAACGGGGAAAGGGATAGGGGGGAGAGGAGTTTAAAGGAGCCTCAAACAAAATCCCCAACCTGGATTGATTTTTTTAGTTGACTAAGAAAACCATGCTGCATGCCCAGACGATTTTTGAGTGCCTAAAAAATAGTCCCAACCTGGGTAAGGTCAACCAAGAAACCGAGCAACCACCTGTAAAAGGGGGCATTTGCTGTGAGTGGCCTCCTGAGGCCCCTCTTTGCCTTGTCCTCATGTGCCTGTAGCTCGTTCCATGTGTTACCACGTTACCATGCATACCTACATGCAGGTACTAGCACCCACTTGGGCAAGGACAGAAAACCAACCAACGATTGACAGGCCGACCAACCATCCTAACTATCAACCAGTTAGTCAGCGCACCTGGGCGAGGACGGAGGGGTCGTCTGCTTGAACTAACGGCCTGAGGCCCCTCTTGGCCTTGTCGTCATGTGCTTGTAGCTCGCTCCATGTGTTACCACGTTACCATGCATATAGACCTACTGGTACTAGCAACCCACCTGGGCAAGGGCGGAGGGGTCGTCTGCTGAGACTGGCCGCCGGAGGTCCCTCTTGGCCTTGTCGTCGTGTGCCTGTAACTCGCTGTTGAGACTGCTGCACTCCATCTGTTACAGGGTTACCATGCATAGATACACATACACACATGCAGGTATACATACACATGCAGGCAGGCACATGCGTATCCGTGTGCCATACATGTATGCATACAGGTTCATGCACACATGCGTGTACATGCAATGCCGAACATGCATGGACAGACAGACAGATATGTGTGTACACAAAGGGCTATGCAGGCACACGAACATGCATGCATGCATGTATGTAGGCTTGCAGAAGAATGCAATGCCTTCTCTGCCACAGCCTACATGCAATGCATGTAAGATTTATACATAATGATGTGGCAACTCACTGCAACCACATCATATGGTGCCCATCCACCCTCACTCCATCCTCACTCCACCCTCACTCCACCCTCACTCCATCCTCACTCCACCCTCACTCCACCCTCACTCCACCCTCACTCCATCCTCACTCCACCCTCACTCCACCCTCACTCCACCCTCACTCCACCCTCACTCCACCCTCACTCCACCCTCACTCCACCCTCACTCCACCCTCACTCCACCCTCACTCCACCCTCACTCCATCCTCACTCCACCCCCACCCCACCACCCCCCCTCCCCCGCTTCCTCTCACCTCGAGAACAGAGATCTTCTCTTCCAGGGACAACGCTCGCTGAATGCGCTCCTCCACTGCCCTCTGCATGCGAGACAGCGCCGCCACGCCCTCCGCCCCTCCGCCCTCTCCGCCCCCTCCGCCCCCTCCGCCCCCTCTTCCCCCTGCTGTCCCTTGCTGCTGCTCCAACTCCAACTCTCACCCTCATTCCAAGCTCAACCACACACCACATCTCACCTCAAGCATGGAGATCTTCTCTTCCAGGGACGAGACTCACTGTGTGCACTCCTCCACTGCCCTCTGCATGCGAGACAGCGCTGCCACTCCCTCTGCCCCCCTGCCCCCTGCTGTTACTCCAACTCCAACTCTCCCTCGCCCTCACCCGCATTCCAACCTCACCTCCACCCGCCCTCTCTCTCACCTCCAGGACGGAAATCTTCTCTTCCAGGGACGACACGCGCTGTGTGCGCTCCTCCACTGCCCTCTGCATGCGAGAAAGCGCCGCCACCCCCTCGGCCACTTGCTGCTCTAACGCAAGCTCGCGTGCTGCTGCTTCCTGTAGGGGGGGTGGATGAGGGAAGAGTGTAGGTTGAGTAAATCAGGAGTGACTCAAGGAAACGGAGTGCATGCGAGACAGCGCCGCTACGCCCTCCGCCACCTGCTGTTCTAACTCCAGTTCCCGTGCTGCTGCTTCCTGCAGGTGGGAGGGCGAGAGAGAAAGAGGGGTGTGAGCGAAGGGAGTGCATGTGAGAGAGAAAGAGGGGTGTGAGCGAAGGGCGTGCATGTGAGACAGCGCCGCCACCCCCTCCGCCACCTGCTGCTCCAACGCCAGCTCGCGTGCTGCTGCTTCCTGTGAGGGTGATAAGTAGGAAGTGAGTGAATTGGGAAGTGAACCAGGACGAGTGACTGAAAGGAGTGGGTAAGAGACTGCTGGAAGGAACCCCCTCTGCCACCCGAACGCCTGGTAGGGGATGCCCTCCAGCCGAAACATGCTTGTCTTGTTTTCGTTTCTGTTAACGAGAAGGGTTCCGGTTTCACAGACTCTCGGCTATTAGCTAGTGTTAGATTTACACTGTTCTTTCCTACTTGCTTAAGCCTGAACCTAAGCGCTGCTGCTCACTGGAAAATGTCCCAAGATCTGCGAACCAGGATGAGTGACTGAAAGCAGTGGGTAAGAGGCTGCTGGAAGGAACCCCCTCTGCCAGCCGCTGCTCTAACTCCAGCTATTGCGCAGCTGCTTCCTGTCAAGCGGATACTTGTACCTATCAAGAACTTGAGAATATCAACTGCTGCTCGCCCAGTGTACCAGCCTCACCTGTCTTGTCGCGAGGTGCGCTGCGTGCTCGTCGTCGCACCGCCTCTCAGCAGCACCCAGCTCCTCCCGGAGCGCCTGGATCATGCGCGCCTCTGTGGAGTCCCGGTTCTTGGACAGTGCCTCTGAACTCGCCTGCAGTAGGGATGGTGGTGGTATGGTGGGATGATTGGAGTGGTGGGGGGCGGTACCATGCCATTATGCCAAGCTCCTCTCTGAGCGCATGAATCATGCGTGCCTCTGTGGAGTCGCGGTTCTTGGACAGCGCTTCAGAGCTCGCCTGCAATTGGTTGGCTGGTGTGTTGGTGAGACAGCATGGTGGGGTGGGAGAGCAAGCTGGAATGATTGGTGGGGGGCGGATGTAAGTCATGTCATGCTCGTAAGACGCCTCTCAGCAGCAGCCAGCTCCTCTCTGAGTGCATGAATCATGCGCGCCTCTGTGGAGTCCCGGTTCTTGGACAGCGCTTCAGAGCTCGCCTGGAGTTGGGATGGTAGGGTAGCATGGAGGGATGGAACAGCGTGCTGGTATGACGCTTCACAGCAGTGGCGGCGGCGGCAGCAGCAGCAGCAGCAGCAGCAGCAGCAGCCAGCTCCTCCCTGAGAGCCTGGATCATCCGCACCTCTGTGAAGTCGCGGTTCTTGGATAGCGCTTCAGAGCTCGCCTGCATAGGGATGGTGGCATGGTGGGATGATAGGAGTAGTGGGGGGCGGTCATGCCATCATGCCAAGCTCGTCCCTGAGCGCCTGGATCATGCGCGCCTCTGTGGAGTCCCGGATCTTGGATAAGGCTCCAGAGCTCGCCTGCAGTTGGGGTAGGGATGAAGGGTGTTGTTGGTACGACTGGTGTGGTAGGGTGGGGTGGCAGCATGCCATGCCATGCTCCTCCCTGAGCGCCTGAATCATGCGTGCCTCTGTGGAGTCGCGGTTCTTGGATAAGGCTTCAGAGCTCGCCTGGAGTTGGGGTGGTGGCATGGTGGGGTGAGTGAGGCAAGTTGGGTGTGGAGAGCAGCGGACCGCCTCTCAGCATCCTCCAGCGCGCCACACAGCGCCTCTATCTCCCTGTTCTTCGCCTCCATCCCCGCTGCCCCTGACGTTTCACACACTCCTCCCTCCCGCGCTCGCACACACCTGCAGGGAGGCGACTTTGGCTTGGAGAGCAGCGGACTGCCTTTCAGCATCCTCCAGCGCACCACACAGCGCCTCTATCTCCCTGTTCTTAGCTTCCATCCATCCCTGCTGCCCCTACCTTTCAACTCCCTCCCTCCCTCCCTACCCCCCTCCCTCCCTCCCCCCTCACTTGCACGCACCTGCAGGGAGGCGACTTTGGCTTGGAGAGCAGCGGACTGCCTCTCAGCATCCTCCAGTGCTCCACACAGCGCCTCTATCTCGCGGTTCTTCGCCTCCACCCCCGCTGCTACTGCCGCTTCTGCTGCTACTGACTCTCCATTCCCCCCCTCCCTCCCCTCACTCACTCATACATACCTGCAGGGAGGCGACTTTGGCTTGGAGGGCAGCGGAATGCCTCTCAGCATCCTCCAGCGCGCCACACAGAGCCTCTATCTCCCTGTTCTTAGCTTCCATCCATCCCTGCTGCCCCTACCTTTCAACTCCCTCCCTCCCTCCCTACCCCCCTCCCTCCCTCCCCCCTCACTTGCACGCACCTGCAGGGAGGCAAGCTTGGCTTGGAGAGCAGCGGAATGCCTTTCAGCATCCTCCAGCGCTCCACACAGCGCCTCTATCTCCCTGTTCTTAGCTTCCATCCCTGCTGCCACTGCTCCTTCTGCTGCCACTGCCTCTGCCCGTGCACTGGCCAATTGCTGCTGTAATGCTCTCACCACACTATCCACTGACCCACGGTTGTTCCTCTGTGGTGAGGGGGAGAGGTTGAATGGGAGGGCAGGAGCAGAGGGAATGACAAGCTGATTAGCCGTTGCTGCCACTGCTCCTTCTGCTGCCACTGCCTCTGCCCATGCACTTGCCAGCTGCTGCTGTAATGCTCTCACCACACTTTCCACGGATCCACGGTTGTTCCTCTGTAGGGAGACAACAAGACCAGTCGCAAGGACGGACGGAGGAGAGAGAGGGAGGGAGAGAGAGAGAAGGGGATGGGGTCAGAATTAACTTCTTCTGTTGCCACCGCCTCTGCCCGTGCGCTGCCCAGCTGCTGCTGTAGGGCCCGAACCACACTGTCGACTGACCCTCGGTTGTTCCGCTGAGGGGGGATAGTGAAAGGGAGGGGGGGAGCAGAGGGAGAGACAACCTTGTTGCTGCCACTGCCGCTTCTGCTGCCACCGCTTCTGCCTGTGCATTTGCCAAGTCCTTTCATGTACCTATGTACGTCCAAGCCTGCTGCTCGTTCTCTGCCTGCAGTTTAGGAAAGGTAATGCTCATGTGCCTCATACTTGTAGTACCTCGCTGCACCTCACACCTCACTGCATCTCCTTGCACCTCCCATGCACCACTCCTCACCTCCTCATGCAGCAGCTCCTCCAGCTGCTCGTTCTCCGCCTTATACTCCTGCAGCCGCGCCGACAGCTGTGCACAGATCTGCCAAGGGCAGGAGAAGCGAGGGAGAGGGGATTAGGGGAAGAGTGCACAGGAAGCTATTCTAGTTGCTGACTCAAAGTCACTCCAGCTGCTCGCTCTCCGCCTTATACTCCTGGAGCCGCGCTGACAGCTGTGCACAGATCTGCCAAGGGCATGGAGAGGGAGAAATAGAAGGAGAGAGGCAGACACAAGAGAGAGGAGAAGAGGGAAGAAGGCTGTAAGGAAAACCTTCTAGTTGCTGACTCTCAGTCACCGCAACTGACTCTCAAAGTCACCCCACACGCATCCCTCATCCTTCACCCTTCATGCATCCATGAATCACATATCTCCATGCAAGCCAGGCCTCCTTCGTTTGCCCGATGCCTGTAGTGTAGCCTATCAGAGAAGCCCCTTGACCTGCCATGCCCAAACACGTGGATCCCTCATCCTTCACGCGTCCACGCGCCCATGCCTTCCCACACACACACACACATACCCGTGTAAGCCTGGCCTCTTTGGTTTGCCCAATGCCTGTGGTTGATTCAAGGATGCCCCTTGGCCTGCCATACCTAACGCACCACCAAACGCATACATCCCTCATCCTTCTCCATCCCTCAAACATTCATGCCTACCCGTGTAAGCCTGGCCTCCTTGGTTTGCCCAATGCCTGTAGCTGATCGAAGCAGTCCCTTGGCCTGCCAGGAACAGCCAGAGCAAACGAGAGAGGAGGGAGGAGGGAGGAGGGAGGGTTTAAAAGGGAGGAGATTGGAGTGGAAAACTAAAGTTGCTGTGCTCGTAAACAATTCTGAACAGTGCTCCAATCCAACCGGATTGTCCTGCTGCATCCGTAAACCCTTTCTGTCAAAATTCTTTGATACCTTTCTCACCTCTTCAAGGTCTCGTGGAGTCTCTGATTTGACCACTCCTTGTAAAAATTCACTCACCTCTTCAAGATCCCGTTGAGTCTCTGACGCTTGCACCACCTTCTCCCTTGTCTTCCCAATAACCACCATGCTCCTGCTTTACAAGTGCAAGCAAGCAACCATAGACCCATACTCTCAACTCAACTCCCTTCAATATAGTTCACATACCTCCTCGAGATCCCTCCGAGTCTCTGATGCTTTTAGCACTTTCTCTCTCGTCTTCCTCTCCCTCTCCACTCCCTCCTCCTCCGCTTCCTCCTCCTCTTCCTCCTCCTCACCCCCTTCCTCCTCCCCTTCCTCCTCGCCTTCTTCTTCTTCCTCCTCCTCTCCTTCCCCTCCATCCTCTTCTCCCTCTGCTTCTTCCACTCCGCCTCCCTCCTCCATTTCTCCCCCCCCTTTCTCCCCTACTCTCCTCCCCCCTTCCCCATCCTCTTCGTTTCCCCCATTCTCTAACCTCCCCTCTCTAACCCCTCCCGCCATTCCCTCCATACCATCACCTCCTATTCCCTCTCTCTTTGTCACATCCGTGCCAGCAATCCCAACACCAACCCCAGCCTCAGCCTTTACACCGTTCTCCACCCCTTCCCCCCTCCCGTTATGATCACTTCCCATTTCACCTTCCACCCCCTCCTTGCTACCGGCCCCTTCCCCCACTCCTACTTCACTTCCTCCTAACTCTACCTTTCTCCCACTCCTCACCCCCTCTTCTGATCCTGATCCCATTTCCCCTGCCGATTGACCTCCTGTTATTAGCGCCCCGCCTTCAGCTGCCACTGAAAACTCCTCATCCACTGCAGCATCTTGCTTCTCTCCCTCACACCCTCCCCTCTCTGTGACCTTACTCTGCTGTGCAGGCATGTCACTCCCTCCTTCGCTCCCTACCCCTCCTTCGCCCATTCCTTCGCTCCCTCCTGCCCCCCCTGCCCCTCCTGTATCTGTTGCAATCCCAGTGTTTACAGCATCCGAACCTGTCACTGCCTCAATCCCCAAACCACTGCTCAAGCCAGCATCCGACCCAGCTGCCGAACCAGCTGTCGTGCCAGGTGCCGAACCTGCATCTAGGCCGGAACCTGGGCCATCCAAACCTGGCCCGCTCTCTGCGGGCGTGGCAGCAGCAGTAGCAACAGCAGCAGCAGCTTTACTAGCATCTGACCTCACGTCCGCATTCCCTGCTGCCACTGCTACTCCTCCTGTTGCTTCTCCTCCTGTTGCTCCCCTTGCTTCTCCTCCCCCTGCCCCTCCAGCTGCTCCTGCTGCTGCTCCTTCCTCTGCTCCTGCTTCCGCACCCGGCCCCCTCTTCCCTGCAGCTGCGTCAGTGGTTCCTGCAGCTGCTGAAACTGAAAGGGGCACAGCAGCTTTAGCCTCCGCAAGAAGAACGTCTGACCCCGCACCAGCAATTAAGCTCCCAACAGTCATAGTCGCACCTCCTCCAGTTAACCCCCCACCGGTCGTTCCTCCTGTAGCTGATCCCCCACCAGTTGAACCTCCACCACTTGAACCTCCACCAGTCGACCCTCCACTAGAGCTCGCCTCGACCTTCTTTCTCCTGCTTCCCCCTGCACCCTTCCCCCCCACTCGAACACTTGCTGTGCCTGCTGTCTTTCCCTCTGTTTCGGAGGAGCTTCCAGGCTCGTCTAGGGATGGAGCGCTGATGGATCCTTTAAGAGCTGCCCCGTTAGTGGCTCTACTAGAGGTTGGCTTCGATTTCGACCGGTCTAGCTTGCCCTGTAAGCATGTGCATCGACAGAGAGATTGTTGCGGATGGGAAAACAAAACAACCAAAGAAGTACATTAGAAGGTGTATTAAAAAATCCCCTTCTTTACATTCGTACACGTTATAACAGGGGTACGAGCGAGCCGGTCGACAGGTCATACCAGAAAACCGGGTGTTACAACACTCATAACCAATCCCAAACCAAGCTCGCCATTCCAGGATCTCATTAGAGAAATGACAGTTTCTCCCCCTATCAGCATACGCCAACACATACCATCGTATTACCCTATCAATGGCACAGGCACAGCTGCTACAAGTCTGCTACTCACCTTTTCCCTTGCTGCTGGTGTCTTGCGCACTCCCACAGGCTCCAGTGCTGCTCCAATGGACGTACGGGGCACAACAGACGGGGGTGGGAGGAACGAGGGGAAAGGAAAAGCCAGGGTCAATGACTAACTAAATTCCATTCATCAAATCCCTCTCTCACTCTGACTCGGATAGTTATCCACCCTTCCCAACCCAGCCCAACCGCACTGCGCTCCCCACCTGCTGCCAGCTTCTACAGGGGACGCCTTAAGACGCATAATAACGTCCTCCACCCTTACCAGCCCTGCCCAACCGCACCCAACCAAGCTCAACCACCCGCTTCACCTGCTAGCTGCTCCTCCAGAGCTGAATCCTCATTGCGTGCCGCCACACTCACTGTGCGATCCACTGCTTCTAGCAGCTCTGGTAGGAAGGGGGAGGAGGGGGGGAGGGGGGGAGGGGGAGGGGAGGAGGGGGAAGAGTGGGCGTTTCTAGCAGAGCAGCAGGCGGAAAAGATTGCGTGCCGCCACACTCACTGTGCGATCCACCGCTTCTAGATGCTCTGGGAGAGTGGGGAGAAGGGGGAGGTGAAAGGGGGAGAAGGGAGAAGGGGGGAAGAGGTGGAGGGAAAGGGCGTTGGGGGGAAAGGGACGCAAGGATAGGGGGAGATGAGTGGGGGGGAGCAGGGAGCTGTAGTAGGGATGGCGTTTTTGGCAACAAACGGAGCAGCGGCCGAAGCAAAGTCCTCATTTCGTGCCGCCACACTCACTGTGCGATCCACCGCTCCTAGCAGCTCTGGGAGAGGGGAAGGAGTTGGGGAGGAGGGGAGGGGGGGAGAAGGGAGAGGAGGGAGAGGACGATGGGAAGTCGTTATTACTGCGCCACACTCACTGCGCTTTTCCACGGCTTCGCCTGTAACCTCGTCATAAACAACATCTACACCCCCGACATAGTCACTGTCACAATAACGGTGTCGGCACTGCCTACTTTCACCCCCACCGTCATTGCCTACTTTCACCCCCGACATAGTCACCCTCACTGTGAGACGGTGTCATTGCCTACCTTCACCCCCGTCATAGTCACCCTCACTGTGAGACGGTGTCATTGCCTACCTTCAGCCGCTCGCAGCCACCCTGCCATTGCGACCGACTATCACCCCGGTCCCGCGTTTCACGGCGACCAGCTTCGGGAAGATGATGGATGGATGCAGCCGATTTTGTGGTCGACTAAAGAATGGATTCACGGCTACTAAGTTCGGGAGGAGACTGCTTGTAGCGTCGCGACTGGCGCAGGGTTTGCGATTGATTACTCTCCGCCTCTCGCCAACCATTCGCGACAACTAGCAAGCTCTCGCCGCAACAGTGATCGTCGCCTCGCGGACTTCCTTCGCGCAGGTCATTAGCAGGCCCCAAGCGAAACCGCCTTGTACGTGTTCGCCTCTTCTAAATAGAATGTGCAGCTACGCCGTGGTTACGATGGATACCCTGCGGTAACGCGTGAGGAAGTGACTCTTGAGTCGACTCAAAAGTAACTACGGGGTGTTCCGCCGCTGGATACGCTGCACTAACGCTTGACGAACGGATAGTACGTTACGAGCCAGCTCTCGTCCAAGCAAATCCGCCCTGTCTGTAGCTCGCCTCGTCAAAACGCAATGTGCAACTACGGGGTGCTTACGCTGGACACTTAGCCAGCTCCGTTAAAACGCGCGACGCAATCTGGCGGCGAACACGGCCGCTTAGTGATGCCTGAGCGAACCTGTCAGTACTAAAGGAAGTCGCAGATAATAACCTTTCGCCACTTGTGTCATCAACCATTTCCTTACGCCCAGCGAGGCTGTGAAAATGTGAACCTCCCAGCACACGCAAATCGAAGTTGGGATGTCCTGAAGGTATTGGGTGCGGTGGTGTGCAGTGTGCCGTGGCGGAAACGGTTGTTGATGGTGGAAGGAGCAGTCGGCAATATCGATGCTGTGCTGGACTGGACTGGGCTGGAGGGGACAGCTTCAAGGATTGTGACTGCCGGGACAACGGTCGCCTCGTTATCCGTTACAAATATATTTTTACTACACAACTTAAAACACTCCAAATCTGTACCAACACATTCTCAAACCTCAAAACTAAATAAAATCTGAAGCTGGTCATTTCTTGGAGACACCATGCGCTTGTGATGCCCTGAAGGGCGGGACGTACAACCCAACCCCCGGCTTATCACCCTCCGAACTACCTCCCTTCGTTTCCAGAATCCCATCCCCTTTTCTCCTCCCACCCTCCCCATTCGCCTCATCCTCGTCCACCATATCCGCCCAGCTCAGCCCACAGGGCGAGGCTAGGCCCTCTTGAAGAGCCAAACCCAATGCTGCCACGTCACCAGAGCCAGGGGCGGGACTAGGCTGGTTCAAGGCGTCATGGGGAGCAGGAGTAGGAGCAGGGTGAGCAGGAGCAGGGACAGCAGGAGCAGGGTCGGGAGCAGGGCTCGCAGGGTTACGACCAGGTGCATGGGCGGGGACAGCAGCAGGACAGGGAGCAGCCATGCGTTCAGGAGCCTCAGGGGTACCGACGGCAGGATCAGGGGCATGGGCTGGAATGGGGGTTGCATGTTGTGGAGTCCCACTTGTGCTGATTCCGTGCACTTGAATCTTGCTACCCCTTGCAGCAGCAGGCGGGGTGGTGGTGGTGGTGGTGGTAGGGGCGGCATGAACCGCAGTGGTGGCACCTGCTGCTGCTCCTGCTGCAGCTCCTGCTGTTCCTGCAGCACCGAACAGAAACGGACCGCTCCCCACTCCTCCTTTCCCCTTCTCCTTGCTCGCATCACCAGTCCTCGCCCCAAGTGCTTGCTCTAGCTGTCCATCAGTCTGTGCCTGAAGGCTCAAGCGTGAAAACGGCAGCGAGCTGACCTCCTCTGCAGCCTCGTCCTGCTCTCTTCTCTGCTTCTGCCCTGGCTTCTCCCCTCTCCTGCCCTCCGCACTCACAGGCCTATCTGCTGTCACTGCAGCCACACCCACCATACCCCCCCCTGCACTCCCCTCTACACCCCCCCCAGCAACCCCAGTGCCTCGAGCCCTGCCCCCCACGCCAGCACCCCTGCCCCCCCTGCCTGCACCTCGGCCTGCTCCTGCATGGAACCTCCCCTGGTTCAAGCCTCCAGAAGGAGAGCTCCCCGGGTGGAAACCACCAGGCTGAGCCTGAGCGCCACCGGGGTGGAAACCACCTAGCATGGGAGCAAAAGCTGCGTCTAGAAGGCGGTTACCGCCTCCCAGCCCACTCACCCTTCTCCTCCCACCCTCTCTTCCAACCATGCCAGTGCTGCCATCACCGCTGCTACCAGGCCCATCCCCCTTCTCTGCTGCAGTCCTTAGCTCGACCCCCCCCCTGGGTCTCTCTTCCCCACGCCTCTCCTCCCCACGCCTCACCTCCCCACGCTTCTCTTCACCACGCCTCTCCTCCCCACTCTTCCTCCCCCCACTCCTCTCCCGCTCACTCCCCTCAAACCTTTCCTGCCTGCTGCCCCCTCCACCACCTCCTCCTTGCCCCCTACTGTTCCCTCGCCTCCACTCCACTTCTCTCCTTTCCTCCCTGCTACCCCTCCCTCCTCCCCTCCCCCACTCATCCCCTAGGCCCGTCTCCCCCGTCCCTTCCTCCAAGTCTTCCACAGGAGCCGTTTCCCTCTCCTTGCCCTTCCCATGCTTATCACCACGCTCCCCTCTCTGCTGCCCCTGCTGCTGCTGCTGGTGCTGGTGCCTCCCTGCCCTTCGCTCCCCATCCTTCCCTGAGTTCACCCCCCCTCTCCCCCCCTCCCCCGCACCAACCTCCTGCTGCTCCTTCTTCGCTCCTCCTTTCACCCCTTGCCCCCCTCTCGCTGCTCCTTCTCCTGCCC